GGTGAAGGGATCACTTGCATGTTTCAGGGGGCTGATGCCAGCATTGCGACATGTGCAGCACCACACATCCTGCTGCGTGTGTCACAGTGGTGTGCATAAATCAGGGGCGCTGAGGGGAGAGCTTGCACCGCTTGTGTAGTGTGAAGTGGACCTTCAACAGGAGACACGAGGGTGGTGCGTTTGCTGCTGTGGTTTTTAAATGTCTGTCACGGGAAGGTCTGGTTAGTAGTCCGGATCAGCCCTCCTAAATTTTCCCCATGAAAAGAAAAAATCAGATTTGAAGAATAAATCTTTTGTAAAATCAATCACTGGAAAGAAAAGGATGTGAAAGAAGGAATTTTTAACACTGTCAAAGTATTGTTCAAAAATGTGTTGTTTATTCATGCTTTAACTATGCTGACTTGCTCAGGGATACTCCCTGTTTCCCTGCATGGCTCTCTGTCAGTTTAGAAACAAGGAGATCATCTCCTCCAACCAAATTTCTGCTGTAATCTTGTAACATTAGTGAGCAATTAACAGGAATTATAAATCATAATTACAGGCTATTTACCATCCAAAAAGCTTAGCAAGAGAACTTTCTTATTAGAATGAGAATATACTACAACGCATTATACGTAATGAGAATATATGTCATTTTCAAAAACTAGTGACTAAAGTGAAGTTCCAGGGCCAGCTAGGGCTCTGTCCTCCTTGTTTAATGTCCTCTTTGACAAGCCTTCGTATCAGCCCTTGCTCCTTTCTGCGGAAGCAGCGCATGGGCTGTGGTCATTATCTGATGATGCTCCTTTGCACTGATTTTCAACAGTGGATGTTCTGCATTCCACTGTGGGCGTTCGGCATGGAAAGAAGGGCTGGGAATTTGTAGCATAGGTAAATACAGTGACCTTGATCTGCCGAGAGAGGCTTGCATGCCTGCTAAGTTGTCCTTCCTGCTCCACTTACCTCAGCAGTGGTTTGTACAACCTGTCCTTCAGCCTTTGCATCCTTTGTTAAATGCGGTAGCTCTCCTTTCAAGTCATTGTCTCTACTTAGTTACTTCTCAGAAAATCTCACCTCTGACATAAATGGGTTCCTCAGCTGATACAGCTGCAGGCTGAAAGGTCTGAGGTCATGAAGCTCCGCTTCGTTGTACTTGCTTGCTGTGGGATCTGGTGTTTGTGAATCGAGCCTGACCTCTGCCTCGCCTCCACACTTGCTGTCCTGAGCTATGACTCAAGACATTATCAGAGTCAAGGTTTCTTCTTCTGCAGAGGAGGATTTATAAAAGAAAGCACAGAGTAACATCAGTCTGTATTCTTTTGAACTTTCTGGACTGAACCCTCGTTTTAGCCAGTTGATATTTTAGTGCAGTAAGAAGAGCATGCAGGTTTCTGTCTGACTATCAAAGGTATTTAGTGTAACTCACTGGAAAACTAAAGCAAACCCAAGAACAATCTACCAGTAATTGGACTTGGTTGATAAAGATAGCTTATAAACACTGACAGCATTTACATACTAATGAACCTCTCACTATTCATCAAATAAAATAAGTGTATCTCGCTTTTTTTCTTAAGACCAGGACATTTCTCTGAGGAAATGGATACATCTTCCCAAAAATACCCAGTCAAAAAGCGAGTGAAAATTCATCCCAACACAGTAACAGTGAAATATACTTCTCATTATCCCCAGCCAGGAGAAGAGGGATATGAGGATGTTAATGAAGACACTGGAGTATTTATGGAGGATAATCCTAAGAAAAGACTACTGAATGATGGGAGAAAGAGAGAAAGGACCTTTTTTGGTACAATAGACACCAAGGTTCAGCCAGCACAACTGCCAAAACCTGATGAGATCAAGCAATCCGAGCATTTTCCTGAAGGAAATATACTGCAGTCGAGGAAAACGTGGGCAGTCCTTTTTGGATCTGCTGTGGCTCACGGATGCGTGGCTCTAATTACAAGATTAGTTTCTGATCGTTCCAAAGTGCCATCCCTAGAGTTAATTTTCATCCGTTCAGTCTTACAGGTGCTGTCCATTACTGTTGTCTGTTATTACCATGAGCCTCCCTTTGGCCCCAAAGGCTACAGACTCCGGCTCTTCTTCTATGGGGTCTGCAATGTCATCTCTATTACCTGTGCTTACACCTCCTTCTCTATAGTTCCCCCCAGCAATGGGACCATAATGTGGAGGGCTACCACTACCGTGTTCAGTGCCATTTTGGCTTTTTTACTCGTAGATGAAGGAATGGCTTATGTAGATGTAATTACTGTAGTTGGCAGTGTGTTTGGTGTTTGTCTGGTCATGATCCCCAACATTGTTAAGGAGGAGAACTCTTTGCTGAGCACCTGGAAGGAAGCATTTGGCTATACCATGACCATTATGGCAGGTTTGACCACTGCTCTCTCTATGATAGTCTATAGGTCAATCAAAGATAGCATCAGCATGTGGATGGCACTGTTCACTTTCAGCTGGACGGGAACGGTGTGGGGAGCATCCACCATGTTCTTACTTCAACAGCCGATCGTCCCACTGGATGGAGAAACCTGGAGCTATCTCCTTGCCATCTGCCTGTGCTCCACAGCAGCCTTCCTGGGGGTCTACTACGCCCTCAGCAAGTTCCACCCCGCGTTGGTCAGCACCGTACAGCACCTGGAGGTTGTCATCGCCATGGTCCTGCAGCTTGTCGTGTTGCGGATCTTCCCAGGTGCTTATGATCTTGTCGGGGGAGCGGTTATTTTGGTTAGTGTGTTTTCCCTTGCATGCCATAAACTGTCCTGGAAGAATTTAGGAAGACAAGATTATCAGGAGATTGTGGATTCTTCCATTAAATGAATTACGGTTTTGCTGCCCGATTCTGGCTGTGCGGCCACGTGAAAGTAACATATTTCAGCTCTGTCGTGTTGTAGCGTAGTGGCCAGGTCCTCTCTCTGCTGTTTAAATTCATGGCTGATGTAGCAATGTCAGCATTTCCAGACCATTTCCAGACTGGTGAATTTGTTCTGGTGTGTACAACCACTGACATTTTGTCACACAAGAAAAGGCGGTTTGTCTCCAGCACACAAGGTGCGTGGGCAGAAGCACAGGCTGGCCACGGAAGCGCAGACCAAGTCCTAGGCGTGTCCTTCCTCACCTTCCCTGGGTAAGGCAATGCAGAGACAGAGGGATTCACCAGCGACGCTCATTCTGTGCAGCACAGTAGTAGGAAAAGGAACAGTGAAGCCATTAAAGCGGTCAACCAGAGCATTCATATCCTCGGTAACACTCCTTATGCTTTGGATGTAATATTCTAAATGAAGTAATGCTAATATTTCTGTGGTTAAAACTTACATTTCCTGTGTGTATAAAGAATATGTCGGTAAACCTTTTTGTGCTTTGTGGTTAAATTTCTGCCTGAATAGATGCAGAAAGCCCAGACCTCCTGTGGTGGAAAGAGAGCCCCAAAAACTGGATCTCCAGCTGTGCACAGCTGGGAAAGAAAGGTCCCCAAGAACTGTAAGGTCCATGATAGATAAAAGATCTACCTCTGAAGCAGAGTGGTATTCTTTCTGTGGAATCACTGGTTCTAAAAGAGGTTTCAACTATTACGCAAGGGAGAAAAAAAAAAAAAAAAAAGGAAAAAAGAAAAGCCAGTATCTGGCATTGAGGTGCGAGCAGCGGCAGTAACACTGAACAGCCTGGCAGGCATCCCGCAACCTTAACTCAGTGTGCTTGGGTCCTAACACTTCAGTTAGAAATTAGATTTATAAAAAACCCCAGGGTTTTATGGCTCCAGACAGTATTCCTGTCCATGCTGATGTACGGCTAGTGAAGAGAAAGACCAGCATCTCAGAACCCATGTCCATATGGGCTCCATGCCAACCAGGACCAGCACACACGCTCCAGCGGACTGTGCCTCTGTTTTGGGACATGAGCATTTTCTGAGGGAAAAGATCATTCAGATGACCCCAACCACTCCAGCTTCCCCCATGGAAAACACCACAGAAAATACATTTTACTTGGGAAGAAGCCACAGCAGCAGCAATCAATTTTATTCCTATGAATAGCCAGGGAGACCCGGTTCCCCAACATCAGTCAGCCCGTCCAGCAGTGCTCCTGATCCGTGTGACACTTGTGTCCTCCTGTGTCCATGAGGGTCACGCAAGGAGGACACGTTTCCTCGGGTGCTGGCACAGCCAGGGCTGTCCCGACAACTCCGTTTCCTTTAGGAGCCTGTGGAGCCGGCAGCAGGAGCTCTGTCCTGTGGGAAGGACAGGAGGACAGGGAGCAGGTAACGCAACATGGTGTTGGGAAAGCTGAGACTGACACCTTCCCAGCCAAAAAACCCTTTGGCAGCTGAGGGCCCTGGCAGGGGCAGGGCAGTTCCCAGCCCAGAATCTTGCTGTGCTTCTATTAACTCCTCTTTTCCTCTGGGGCAGATGGTCTGCCCTCCTCTGAGTGATAACACAGCGGGAAAGCTTCCTCTGTGGAAAGCAACCAGGGCAAAAGGCTCCATCTCCTACGGCTTCCACGCCTGCTACGCGCTGGAGGGAGTCAAGCTCTGAGACCCCACCGTGCCAGCATGCACGCAGCCACCTGGGTACGTGTTGGCAAGCGGGGGGCACCCACCAGTGAGACTCCCTGACTGCCTGCACCGCGCAGCGGGGACATGAGTCCAGAGCAAAGCCCCAAAGCGGCGAAGCCCCCTCCTCAGCACAGCTCCCTGCTGCCTCCCACGCCCACACTAGCGTCTCTGCTCGAGCCACGCATGCTGCAGAGCCGTGCCAGCCCCGCCATGATCCCTGTGAGCACAAGCTGATGCACTGCTAAGCAGAGATAGGAGCACATTGCTGCCAAAATGGGTGATCCCGCTTCCTCCTCCTGCCACCACCAGCTGCTGCTTCCCCAGCATCTGATCCATGATCACAAACTGCAGGCTGGTCAGTTTGACTTGGGGATCAGGCACAAAACTAATCCTCCCAAAACCTGAGCCCAAACTGACACAGGCAGCCAGCACCCAGGGGCCAAGCAGGGCACAACCCCATCCCCAGAACCTGGGTGATGGCTGAGGGGCGATTCCCGGGGTCTATAGGGCTTGGTCCTGGTCCAGCTGCGCCACAGCCTGCACAAGGTCCTGCACAACGAGGTCCACGTCTGCCCGAGTCGTGTCTCGCCCCACACTTAGCCGCAAGGCGTTCTGTGCCACGTCATAGGGGATCCCACAGCTGAGCAGAATCGAGGAGGGCCTGAAACGCAGACGAGGGGTGAGTGGGTTTAACATGAAGGCTGAGGAAGCACGTGCACCGCCAGAGAGCTCCACCAAGCCGTAAGAGGGAGCACATCTACAGATGCACTCCAGGCAAATTTCCTTGCTTTCCAAAAGCACCTGCTCAGCTTGTTGGCCTGTGGTGGATCTGTCTCTTTCCTCTCCATGTCCCTGTGGGCTGGCAGCTCTGCCATGTCTACAGGGCATCGCTTTAGACCAAGCCAAAAGCACCCACTGTGCCCAAACACCGTCAAAGGAGCCCACTGGAGACCCAAACCAGGCTTGAGCAGGCGAGCCAGGCGCCCGCAGACATGAGGCAGGCTCTCTTCTGGCGGTGCCAGGCCTTGAAGAGTACTTCCGAGCTCAGCTGGATCACCAAAGCCAAGAGGGGCAAAGTCCTTCCCAGCAGCAGCCAAGCGTCCCAGCTGTGTCTCCTGCAATAACCTCCTTCCAGCGCTTCAGCCTCCCTGGAGAGCTCTGCACCCTCTTTGTGCCAGGCAACGCTGCCCACAGCCGCCCACTGTTCCCTTCCCTGTCCTGTTCCCTCCCTCCTGCCCGTTCTCTTCTGGGAAGACGCCCTGAGCCTGTCAAAGCTGGCTGCTTACCGATCTCCTTTCTCAGAGTGGCAGGCAGCCCCCACGCTGGCGAGGAGCAACTTGCAGCGAGACAGCACCCTTCGCCCTGCGGCACACACAGCATGGGTCTCCCAGCGCCCAGGCTCTCCCCGGGCTGCTGCCAGCCTCATCCCCCTGCCCAGGCCACGGCTGAGCACTGGCCTCTGGCAGCAGTCTGCTGTGCGGGGCAGGCACTCAGCTCCGTGCAGGGCCGTGGTGGGGTAAGGGCACGATGGAGATGTACGAGCAGAGCTACCTCGAAGGCCTGGGCCGAGGATGGAGAAGTTGGAGGTGTTGCAGAGTCGCTTGGAGCCTGTAAAGTGGCTGTTGAAGTGGATCCTCTGCTTCCCAAAGGCGGCCTGGAGAAATCGGAGGGCTGTGGACCGCTCTGGGGTCATGAGCAGTTCTGTCCTGCTGAGAAGGACGTACCCACCCCGGCTCCAGGCCCTGCACTCTGCAGGCTGAGACCCTGGGAAGGGAGAGACAACCAGGAGCCAGGTCTGCTCACCTCCAGCCTGGCCTCCAGGTAATCCCGAACATCCCGCATGTGAGCCTCATAGGCTTCCCAGTTCTTGCTCACTAACTCTGCAGCCTGAGGACAGAAAACCCAGCCAGGCTCTGTCAGCGACCCCCTGGCACCCGCCTCTGTGCGTGGCCCCCAGGCACGTGGGTCCAGCCCAGCATCCCCCGACAGCCTCCCGGTGCCTGGTGCCACGTGGGCTGCAGAAAGCAGGGTCTGCCAAGCGCCTCTTTCGACCGGCACCAGAAACCGCTGTCTCCCTTCCCTGGAGCTCGCCCACCCTACCGCACCCTGAGTTTGTCACTTCTAATGACAGGGGGAGTGCAGGTGGCCATCCCCGTGCTGGCTCTGCCAGGCAGCATCCCCAGGGAACAGCTCCCCCGTGACCATCGCTGACTCACCTGGCCAAGGCCAGCGATCATCGGGGTGTTCTCGGTGCTGAGAGGGAAGAGGGAACAGGGAATTACTGCTTCTCCAAGCCAGGAACACAACCTCGCGGCACAGACGTTCCCCATGTGGGATGCCTTGCCACTGGCAGTGGGTCCCGGCCGCCCCTCCGAGGCAGCTGGGAAGGGGCAGTCCCATCCTGCGGCTCCTCCCGTGGCAAAGCCTGCCCCCCAGGCCTCCGCAGCTCCCCTGCACGGATCCATCCTCCCCGCCAGGCTACCCACCCCAGGGCTGGCAGGTGACAGAGCTGACCCAGCCACCTTACCCTGGCCGGAAACTCCTCTCCTGTCCCCCTCCAAACAGCATGGGGTGCAGCGGGGCGGCAGTGCCGGGGCCACGCACGTACAGTGCGCCAATCCGCGGGCCATAGAACTGCCGGGAGAAACAGCCACAGTGACAGGC